ATTCATTATAGGAACACCTGCAGCAACTCTGCCTCACTGACTTCACACATTGTCAACAATTCTCACCATAAAAACCTATTTTGGGGAGTTTACATGGCTGCATCTATAATTTGCTTTAGGCTTCGATGACACTTGTGAAATGTGTGGGAAGAAACTACAGTGCTGGTTTGTTTTTCCCCTAACTAATGTTCTGACTATTTTGACTTTGTGAAAACCAAACAGAAAAATGAAGTGAACTTATTTTGGGATTGGGAGTTAAGACTTATGACCGCAATATGAAATTTAGCAAAATAAGAGTTTATAGTCTGGTTCAATTGTATTTGGATTAATTCCTAAAAGTCATATTTGAATAATGCTATTGTTAATTATCATTGTTTGTTTACTTGTGCTTTTTACCATGTAGGTCTCAAGGCAGCATAGAACAATAAAATATATAATATAAAAAATTTAAAACATAAATTAAACCTCCAAAATTTAAAACCTCAAGGATTTAAAATAGAAATAAAATGTTTAATTGGCAGTATCTCAAAGGTTTAAAGAAATCTAGTTATTAGAAGCTTCATTATTTAGTATTAAAAAGGACTTTCGCACATACTTTATAGCCAACTGAAAGAAATCTTACAACATTTGCTTGTGGTTGTGCAATGTATGTATGTAATGCAAAATTCCTGAGGAATGCGTATGTACTATGCACAAGGTAATGTGTATTGCGCTTTCTTCAAATTCATGATAGCATGATAAACACACATTGCTGAGGAGCTCTTTATGATTTTAGCTCCTGTAATGCCTGAAGCCTTCACATTTCTACTAGTAGATAGTCACAGTTGACCTAATTCAGCCTTGACAATTGCTGATATAGGCAGTTGGAGGAGCTGTCCGAGGTAGGCGTGGGCGGCACCATTTTGTGGTGGTTCCGGTATTACTTGGATGAACATTTCCACAGGGTAATGTTTGGGGAGGGAAGCGGGTGGTGGGTTAAACCACAGAGCCTAGGACTTGCCGATCAGAAGGTCGGCGGTTTGAATCCCCGCAACGGGGTGAGCTCCCGTTGCTTAGTCCCTGCTCCTGCCAACCTAGCAGTTCGAAAGCACATCAAAGTGCAAGTAGATAAATAGGTACTGCCCTGGCGGGAAGGTAAACGTGCACTGCTCTGGTTCGCCAGAAGCGGATTAGTCATGCTGGCCATATGACCCGGAAGCTGTACGGCCAATAAAGCGAGATGAGCGCCACAACCCCAGAGTCGGCCACGACTGGACTGGTCAGGGGTCCTTTCACCTTTACCTTTAATGCTTGGGGAGGGCTCTTTGGGCCTTCAACATGGGGTTCCTCAGGGCTGGATTTTATTATGTATTTTGTGTTCTCATTTTGTATTTATATGTTGTGAACCGCGCTGGATCTTTGGATGAAGGGTGGTAGACAAATAATAACAATAATAACAATAATTAATAACGGAGCCTGTCACCTCTGCTTCTTGACTGGAGATGGCATTAGCAATGTATCTGAGTGCATGAGGGAGAACAGTAGCAAATCAGTCCTGAGACTACAGATGGAATGACGCAGAGGTTTTTTTGGCCTGCTAGAAAACTAATGGGGGAACAGGATTTGTTGGACTGTTAATGCTGTGAAACCTCCATCTTCTGCTTAGCCTTGTTAATATCAGCAGAGAGACCACACCTAACTCCCCCCCTCCAGAGTAGCTCCTTATATTATGATGAGTATGATGGGAGCATTTTAACTACCTGCAAAAACAAAGGGGGAGGGAGGGAAACAAAGCTACAAAGAGGAAGCCAAATAAAATTCAAGGAGAATGCAGGAGAGCACTGAACATATTAGGATACGAGGAGATAAAACAAATATTTGGATGGAGCTTCTGCAGCTTTTGTATTATTAAACACATCTACCATTTAGAAAGCCTTCTCTTTCACATGCTTGAGCTTTCTGAAATTCCCAAGGAATCCAGCTGAGTCTACTTCAATGCCTTTCCTGAAGGCAGAGTGTCAAATTGCTATTCTTCTTATAGAACAGGTGGTGTTAAAGTGTGGCTGAGGGAGGCAAATGTACACCTTGAAGAGCTTTATTTTGTTTCTCGCTCAAGGGACCATTTCAAGGTCGGTATCAAATCTGCAAATATTTTTTGTTTCTAAGCTGCATTGCCAATATGACTATTTTTGTCTATGCAGAAGGACACAATCCTGACTCAATAGAAACAATGATAAAAATATAACATTTTAAAGTATCTATGCCAGCAACAAAAGCACTTGGAGTTCATTTCCTATAGCTGTTTTTTCAACGATCACTTGAGTTGTTAAAAGTCAAGGTATCTGAGCTTTCTTTCACCTGAAACAGAGAAGTCTCTAGATATCATTGTTTAATTTAAGGCATTTCTATTCTGCCCTTCAATTCAAGGTTGAGAAGAAAAGCTTTAAAAAACTTATGAGTTTCTCCTCAAGGTTCAAAAAAAAAAAAAAAGAAGTAGTTTCCATAGCTCTCTTTTTGTAGCTTTCAGATCTCGTGGTTCTAAGCCTGTTTCATATTTTTGACTGCTAGACTGGGATCCAAGTGAGAATAACCGCAATGAGGGACTGAACTGTATGCCTCTCCCACCCCCCAAGTTTCAGAAGGATGCATAAAGATCTACACTCAACTGCTCAAATATTCTCTATGATGTTTTCTGTCCTTCCCAAAATAATAGATGACCATGAGATGGACAATTCTCTACCCCATCACACTTCTTCTTCCATAGAAGCATAGCTGCCTCATACCAAGCCAGACTCTTGCTCCATCTGTTTGGGAACTTCTGCATGTGAGGAGGTGCTCCACATACAGAAGGTTAGCCAAAGTGACTTTAAAAGTTTTCAATTTTGACCTGTACTTTATTATTCTTTTTATTGAAACCAGTGGGATCTGAAACCGATTAAACTGGACTGCATTACTCCCAAATATTTTAAGTCATTAAGTCATCACTGTGCTGCCACATTTAGAAGACTGCATGCTTTTGCTCAAGATTGTGTGATATGGAGTAGTAACTACTCTTGATTGGTAGTCGCAGTCACAAATGTAGTTCAAAGTGCCCACCCTTTATCCATAAGAACGTGGGGGCGGGGGGAGGATTTATTTTTATTACTCCTTGCCCATGGTGGATGTGAGCAAAGCGAAAATGAAAATTGTTTAGATGGAGGTCACTGCTGTTTGCTAAGTAACCATGGATATTATTTGTTAAGGTTTGGATTATAAATCCTCTGGGCAAGAGACATGGGATGTTTGTATTCTGTATGAGATCAAATATGTTGGGGACACTCAATAATAGTGCCCACAAATACAGTTTTGCAGATGAAACACAGCTCTCTTTGATTTCCTAACAGGCAGGCAGAAAATTAAAAAGGAATTGTATTGACTTTTGCAATTATTATTTTAAAAAGTCCAACAGCTGGCGCACCCTAGAGAAACAAGCTGATTTGGTACACAAGAAACAAATGGAATCACCATGTACTACAAACAATGGCATGTATTACAAACAATTGCTCAGTGCTGTCCCATGTTATCAAATGTGTTGAAAGATGGATCAGGTGCTTCTTGGCCTCCTACTGTTTTGCCTAGGAGAAATGTATTGTTCTGTCCCCATAAGAGTGAGGCCATGAACAATTGCCTGGGGCAACCCGCATTCGTTGCAGCTAACCAATGCTCTATAACTGAATCTTCTATAGTGTTAAGACATTGCAGCTGTGTATCCATCCCCATTCCTGACTTTCTTTTGAAATTATGCAGATGTTGTACTTTTTTCCTCCTTCATCGCAAAATGATGGCACTTAATCATTGCATTTGGATTATGCTCCACAACATATGGTGTGCCTAATCTAATTTTAATTAATTTAAAGAAATATTAGGAGCGGGAGTGCACATATACATTGTCAGAGATTTTCTGCAGCATTCCCCTCTGCTTGAGTGACAAGCTATTATTTAAAGTTGTGAGTCTGCAGAAGGGGAACAGTGACTTATATCACTGCCAGTGCCAGACCTAGAGGTCTCAAATTTCAGCAGCGTTCCGTGTTACGCCAAAATTTGGAGCTCCCCTGCCTCTCGTCTTCCATTCTATGTTGCAACTGAAGCCCTTGAGTCTCTGTGGCCAGTGCATCCGAACCAGTCATGCTCCCCCAAATCTGCCTCTGATACTGCAGCAAAAGCATCAAACGCACATCTGGCTGTGCAGGTGGTTTGCCCCTGTCCACACACAACTGAAATGCATGTGTCAAATATATCACATATATCAAATAAGGTTCCAAACCCACAGAAGAACAAATAAGAAACTCACAGAAAAACACTCAGGAGCCATGAATCTAATTTTGCAAGTGAAAACAGTTTTGCTGTGGCGTCACTGACAGGTGCTTCAAAGTGTCTGTGATATGGCATGGTAGAAGAACAGCTGTTGAAAGCGAAATGAAACTCTAGATTTCTGCTGGGCTAATTCATGTTCCTTGTGCAAGCTTAAGCAGCTCTTTGGATCCTGGCTGCAACTGGCTGCGCTGCGTTGCTGGCAGGCGCCATGGCAAACTGCCTGTTAGGCCAAGCCAAATGAAAATGTGTGCTGACCTGTGTTTCTTATGGAGTCTCTTATGTTAATCAGCCCTGCAATTTAAAAGCTGGCCTTTCCCCTGCAGATTCACACCCCCCCTCTTATATCCCCGGGATAGATTGATGCTGGATGTTGACTAGGCATCATCTTTGGGACCCAACACTAGCATTTTTGGGGTGCTGCTGCTGGTGCCTTTTCAACGGGAAAATAATACAAGGAAACAATGGGTTAAAGATTCTTCTTAGGCCATAGCAGTATTTCTGATCTAAACCAACGACACCCACCAGTTGATTTTTGTGAAAGGAAAATGGTATGAAAGAAAAAGCATGTGCTTTTTAAAGTATAAGTGCTCAAAATAACATGCGGTTGGGCCCTCAATTTCATGACCCATGAGGAAATATATATGCATATAGAGGACCAAACAGCACAATTGAAAAACCAGTCTTAACATTGTATTCACACAGCCTATGCATTTTACATCTCAACTTGGATCATGCACCTATTGAATCCCTGATTTATTTCTAGGAGTTTTGTGTGTGTAGTACACGTTTTCACATCCTTAGAAAACAAATGGTTAGCTTGTCTCAACAGAGAGCATTTCTTCAGTTTAACCTTGATCTGCAAGGGGGGGGGAGGCAGTATATTAGCAATGGCATTTTTATGACACAGAAGCAGAGATGCCCAATAAAAGTGTTAACAGCTTTAATTTCCCCAAGGAGACATAACAACCCCAACCCTTTCCTCTAATTTGTTAAAATGACAATATTATTGGTGACGTGAGCCAATATTTGTAGCTGAGGTACAGCAGATCCTGCGGTCAAAGCAGTTTTCTTGTTTAGGCCAACGTTCTTTTCAGATATATTAAAACAACAGCGACAATGCAGGACTGTGGCGAGAGATCTAGTCACATATTTCAAAATTTGAAAAAAAACACACACACAAAAAAACCCAGCTTGGATTTTACTCTGAGTTCATTTTACTCTTCGTTTAAAACCAAATGTACAAACAAACAAAAACACACACAGAAGATTAATAAACGCAAAGGCAGAACTTAACAGAAGCATTCTGCACTTACATTACTCCTGGAAAGAAGGAGGTACAGTTGCTCTGTGTTGATGGAACGGCCACTATATCCAGTGGGTGGTTTGCCTGGGAGGGGAAAGACACACAACCAGAAAATACAAAATAAAAATAAAAATCAGAAGCATAATGGGCATCTTCCCAGAATCTTTGGAAACTATACCAGTGTCTACCAATCAGGAACTGTGCTAGCAATTATACCCACATCACCCATAAATGCCAGAAGCCAATGAACTCATTATAATGGGGACGTGCCCTCAGTCCATCCCCTGTAAAACAACATACATGATGCCACAGCTCCTCCCATCAGCCCCAGTGGCACAACCAGCAATAACCCTGTTGCTACTAGTCTCCAGGTATCCTTCCAGGCAAATGTTCAAATCCCATTATGTTCCTCACAACCACTGTTTTGGAGCACAACCCTCCACATTGAGTAGAGTGTTTGTACAGAGCATATACAACACCCACACCCACACACACACCCACACCTGACATAGTAATGTAGGAAGTTGCCTTATACTGAGTCAGGCCATTGGTCAAGTGCAGTATTGTTTACACCGGCAACAGCTTGCCAGGATTTCAGACAGGAGTCTGTCCTGTGGGGTGGGTTTTAATAGCTAGGAGAGGCATACGAATTGCAGTTTATCCCTCTAGGTGCCCACATGTGTGGGTTGAACGGAGTTTATAGACTCATCCTTGGCAGCAAAATTAAAATATAGGAATTAGGATGTAAAGCCTTCTTCCTCCCCTCTAGCTCCATAGGGACAAGATCAGATTTTCAAAAAGGTCTACTAGCCTTACCAGGGCAATGATTTCAGTGACTGATAGGAAGTTTTGGAGGAAAAACAAGGGTGCCAATTTGGAGAAAAGATTAGAACTCATCCCTCCATTCTCCTTTTCACCTATTGAACTTGATAGACTGGTATAATGCAACACAATATGAATTTTAAAGGTCTGCCTCTTACATGTACCTCTATACTTGTTGTTGTCTCTCAAGCAGTGGGCCGGGAACCACCTGTAGACCTTAGGCTATTTTCAGGCTGACTTTGTTGCCAGGTGCCTCTCACTTAGAATCACAGAACTGTCGAGTTGGAAGGGACCACAAGGGTAATCTAGTCCAACCCCCTTCAGTGAAATTGTAAGTGCCAAGAGTTTGTTGTAGCATATATATATATGCAGTACATATACATAACAGAAAGTTGTTAGAAAATGGGAACTGTACCATATTGTTAAACCATTTCTATGGTTGTTGTTATAGACTGAATTTGTACCTAGTTGGCGCTGTGGGTTAAACCACAGAGCCTAGGACTTGTCGATCAGAAGGTCGGCGGTTTGAATTCCCGCGACGGGGTGAGCTCCTGTTGCTCAGTCCCTGCTCCTGCCAACCTAGCAGTTCAAAAGCACGTCAAAGTGCAAGTAGATAAATAGGTACCGCTCCGGCGGGAAGGTAAACGGCGTTTCCGTGCACCGCTCTGGTTTGCCAGAAGTGGCTTAGTCATGTTGGCCACATGACCCGGAAGCTGTACGCTGGCTCCCTCGGCCAATAAAGAGAGATGAGCGCTGCAACCCCAGAGTCATCCGCGACTGGACCTTAATGGTCAGGGGTCCCTTTACCTTTTTACCAACTTACAAGTCAGCTATTGGGCTGGCACAATAACACGTGCCTCAATTGGGACCTAGTTCACCCATGAGTGTACTGAATTTTGATAATTTCAGAACATTAAGGGAGAGCCGTTTTGCCTTACAATAAACATTTATTGTTCAACAAATTTGTTGACAACATAAAAAATGCGAAAATGGGCTTGCCGGATTGATGGGAGGTGTGGATATTTAAGACATGGCATTCTCTGCTCAGGTGCCTTGTTTACCAAGCATCAGCTAGAGAGAGCCAAGCGCAAAGGCCTGAACCCCAGAACCCAGGTGTGCAATAATCACAGGTGACACGTCACACTTTCCTCTCTCTCTCTCTCTCTCTCTCTCTCTCTCGGAGTGACTCTGAAAGGAAAGGATGAGCGGCACATTCTGGATTCCATTAGTAAAACTTGCTCATTATTACTTTTTAATGGAAATAATCCAGCAAAGTGAACACTGTTATTATTTATTTCAGAACACACTTCAGGTAAGACACCTAATTTGAGGTCTCCTGTGTGATTTCCTTAGCTTTGGAGAGGAAGCGAAACGGAGGTGGGTGAGTGGAAGCAAGGGAAGCAGTGGCCCCTGAGGTGCCTGAAGGAGCGTTTGGGAAGGAATAGAAAAAGAGGGAGAGGTTTCAGGCCACAAGGTAAAACAGCACGTCGTGACTATTGTATCCTCCCCTTTTCAGGTTACCTGGACTTTTGTTTGTCCCCGTCATAGCCAGGCGGCGAGAGGAACGAGAGAGAAGGGGAGGGAGGGAAAAGTGGCGGGCTAAAGCGCGCCAGGCTCCTGCCGCATTTTCCTGCACCTGTGCGACCAAGACTTCCCGCCCGGGCCTAGCGCGGCCGGGGGCAGCGCAATCTGAGGAGCAGGCAGGCAGGCAGGCGTGTCCCCTCCCTGCCCCCTTCCCAAGCCCAGAAGGGAGGCGGGGGACGCCGCTACTGCTCTGACAGCTACGAACGCCTTCGCCTGCAAGGCGCGCTTTGCATAACAAGCGAAAGGTGTGTGTGTGTGCGTGCGCGCGCGCGCGCCAGCGGGCTTGAGTGAGGCTGCTGAGAGGCAGGAAGAGGGACGCGGCCGGAGCGAGCAAGCGAGGGAGGGAAGGAGAGAGGAGGGGGGGTGTCTCCTCGGGAATGTAGCATGCATGGCTGGGGGCTCCGTCAAGATGCAGCCCCTGTGTGACAGAGCCGACTCTCTGCTCATCGGCAAGAGCTCCGCCGGCGCCAGAGACCAGGAGCAGCAAGTGCAGCTGCGGCAAAAGCTGAGGGAACTGCCGGCGCTGCTCCGGAGCGGACTCACGCTGCGGAGGAAGAGCTCAGCCGCCGGGGGCCGGGTAAGAGTGTGTGCCCGCGCGCGTGTGTGTGTATGTGACCGGCCGTATGCCTCCCAAGGTAGGGGATCTGCCCTGCATTTGGTAGTTCAGCCCCCACCCCCATCGGCCTCCACAGGGCAAAGCCTTGGGGAGTTTTCTCCGTGCGCAGGCTTTGCACTTTGCAGGGGGGTATGCAATGGCAACGCGGCGCGCGAGACACTTACACACATAAAAGAATGGGATTGGGCCACAGTGAAGCTGCAGCCCTATATATATTGGCACCCTTGCGCAAATCTCGTTTAAGTCTGTGGAATATGCACAGTATTTGCATTCTGGGGCCTTGAATTCCCAAACATGCTGAAGTTAAAGAGAGTTAACGTCCTGTAGTTGTGGTCGCGGGTTGGAAGGAGGCCTTGCGCTATATGGTACTCTGGACAGAAAAGGAAGAGTAGAGGACGCCACTGGCTTATCTGAGGAATGATTTACTCGAGAGAAATTAGGCTTGCAGACCCATCTTTGACATGCTTACTCAAAAGTAAGCCCTGCTGCGTTCATTGGGGTTGTCTCCACAAGTAAAATGTTGTGCCATTTCTAAATGTATCTCAACTCCTTTTGCTGGTTTGCAGTTTAATGTGCTGTGGTGCTCAGTAGACCTTATTCCCAGGCAAGGATAATAGGTTCTTCTGGTCATCATCCCCTGGGACAAGGTAGCATGTGAATTGGTTGATCATAGATACAATCTATGACGACAGAGGACGAGATGGTTGGACAGTGTTCTCGAAGCTACCAGCATGAGTTTGACTAAACTGCGGGAGGCAGTGGAAGACAGGAGTGCCTGGCGTGCTCTGGTCCATGGAGTCATGAAGAGTTGGACACAACTAAACAACAACAAGATACAATCAGCAGCAATTCTCCTGGTCCTTGGTCAAGGAAATTTCTACTGGCAGTTTATAAGGGTTGTCCCTGTCAGAGCAGATAGTTACCGTACCTTGTGTCTACTGGCCCTATTTGTTTGCTCCATCCATCTTTGATATATGTATAGTATAGATTCTGTATTCCATTGATGAATCATCAGTTAATGGTTAGGGCTGCAATCTGATCAAATAATTTTTAGCCATATCTACTGTTTACATTTGCATACGGTAATTTTGCATATACAATTCTGAAGCAAGAAGCATACGTTGTTTTTGGATGATGTATACATGTGCTGTAGCAGGCATCATCTTAAAAGAGGCATTCTTTCTGTGAGTTTGTGAGAATGGGTAATCCCTCTTAAGATGGTGTTTGCTATTTGCAGTTTTTAGAAGTACTTGTATTAAAAATGTACTTGCTGGTGGGGGGGAACATACCTATTGCAGTTATGCATCTCTGTAAAGAAGTCCTAGGTTGTCTTTATGATCTCATTCAATTTGTAGACATAGAATCATGGAATTGTAGAGTTGGAAGGGACCACGAGGGTCGTCTAATCCACCCCCCTGCAACGCATGAGCATTTTGCCCAAAGTGGGGCTCAGACCCATAACGTGCAGCTCAAACCCTGATAGTCTAATGCTCTACTAACTGAGCTATCAAGGCTCATAAAACAAAGCTTTTTTCACATGTAACTTTAATACTAGAGGTAGTTATGATTAATTATAGCTGAATATATCACCCATATGTTACATTTGATGCCACGTTCATTGCTCTGAAAGTCTTTTTAGGGATTGTTCATAGCTATAACTGTTCACTTGGATCTGACATTTGGGAACATGTGAATAGTTCAGGTTGGAGGCAAGATTCCTCATGGGGATAGGTTACCCATGGCATTTAAATGCTGTTGTATGTAAGTTGTTCATATGTCAGAATAATTATCTTTAATATTATATGCGTGCCCAAAGCTCTCTTCAAACAGTAATTACATATGAAGATTATACTTGTATGGCATCTAGAAGCTTTGAAATGAGGTTGCTCAGAAATAGCATCCTAGTTAAGGCAGACCTTCATTAGTCTATGAGTTATCAAAGCGTAATTGTTGTTGTCATCTCCCATTTTGCAAGTTAGGCCATCCGGATATTTAGTACAGGTACATGACAATTGCAAGGCATCTGAGTGACAGAACCGGAAACGTAGCTAAAACTCCTTGCCTCCCAGTCATACATTTCAGAAACAAGCTATTAGTCATAAGTTATGTGTACACAAACAAGAACAGATGAAAAATAAATTGTAAAGTTGGCAGCCTGATATATGTGGGTGATGTGGCTTATTTTGTGTCTACAACATCAGGCAGACGTTGTTTATTCATTAGGCAATTAAAACATTCTGAAAACTTGATCAGATATAGGTAAGAACATAAGAAATCCCCGCTGGATCAGGCCAATGGCCCATCTAGTCCAGCATCCTGTTCTCACAGTGGCCAACCAGATGCCTGTGGGAATCTCTGAAAAATAACTTGAGCACAAGAGTCCTCTTGTGGTTTCCAGCAACTCTCTCCTCTTGTGGTTTCCAGCAACTGGTATTCACAAGCTGTACCCATTATGACCAGTAGCCATTGATGACCTCACCAGTAAGTATGCATGTGCTCTGATCACAGTGGAAATGGAAATACGTATAGATCTTTACAATGGGAACATGTGACGCTTTGACTTGAAATAAGCATAAAGACTGCATAGTTCCCCGACTTCCAGAGTGTTACCACTGGTTGCCTATCCTTAATGCTGGCAGCACAGCAGCAGAAGAAAGTTTCAGGCTTGACTAACAAGTTGGGAGACCAAACAGTGTGTATGCTAGTTTTATTGAACTGGGTAATTTTTGAAAAAGACAGGAAGATTCTACATGGTAGTTTTAATTGTGAAACTTTTTGCAATGGAAATGCTAGGAAGGAAGGTTATCTGCGGTTTCTCAAGGGCACTGGTATGACGATGACTCGAACAGCAAAATCAAAGAACTGTAGAGAAGTTCAAGGTGGGAATTATTGCGCTGCAATTGGATATAATGCCCTCTATTAGCTGCTAGTTGGGGGGGACGCTGTACACAGGTGGCAAAGCATTTAGAAAGCACTGTTGGTGTGAAAGGTATGATGGATGAGATGTTGAGAGACTCAGTCCTCAGCCAACCTGGCATGTTGTGACATGGCTGTGGACCCACCCACCTGTGAGCTTGACCATATAATGCAATTGATTTATGTAGGAGTATAATAAGGTGAGGGTTAATGAGCAGCAAGGGCTCATGCATACATGCAAGCAGTCCTGCTGCTGTAATTGGATGCTGCTAGCACTCTGTGCATGCTAATGTGTGGTTATTGTTATTGCTGTACCCACAGTATTAATTGTGAAGCTACGTGATAGCAAATATGTGTTGAAGACCAAGAGAACCAGGGAGTCAATGTGGCGTAGTGGTTAGAGAGCTGGACTAGGGCCTGGGAGACTGGGGTTCTAGTCTCTCCTCAACCATGAAACTCACTTGGTAACCTTGGGCTGGTATCTTTCATCTGACCTACCTCACAGGGGTGTTGGGAGTATAAAATGGGAGGGGGAGCCATGAGCTCCTTAGAGGAAATGTAGGATAGAAATGCAATAAACCAGCCAACTAACCAACCAACCATTTCCTATATTCCTATGTTGTAGGAAGGCAAGGGACCACAATCTGTGCTGTAGCTAGTGCAGAAAAAACTCATGTGTTGATCAAGTGTTGTAATGCTGGTATTTTCTGTTGAAGCTTATTTTGTATATGTGAGGCCTATATCTACTGCTACACCTGTATACCATATTTTGTATAGAAGTATTAAATAAAGGGGATAAATACATCCTGTTGCTTGGTCTTGTGAGAGGCATTTTGCTTTGTTTTCATAATATAGTCGAATAATGGGTTTTATATCTAAGATATTCATTGTATGGTTTGCATTAGTGCATGGAAAACCTTAGGTCAGTAGATTAAGCCAGTCCCAATGATTCCATGAATATTTGAAATGGGTGACTTAGTTTGTACAGAAGTAGCATTTACTTTGAAACTGTAATTTATATTGGTGGCCTTTATTTTTTTATTTTTGTACAGCCTGAGCGTTTATTGCCATGGAGATTCCATTTGGATAATTTGTAGCAGGTGTCATTATGCGACTAAAAATAGACCCCATATGTATAATACTGAGCTTTTCTTATTGTAATCCTCTGTTTATGTATTCCCTAAGTGAAATAAATCAAGATTAGAATCTCTTGGCTTTTTCTTTACCCTTTTAACTGGTCCTTGCAGCAACCGTTGAAGTACGTGAACAAAGGATAAAATACTTCTATTTCATTTCAGATATAATCAGCAGCTAAGGTTCTTTCAGTTGTTAAATGTTGCTAGTATTTCTTCCTTTTATGTTGATCTAAAATAGAACCAACACTCCCCACACTTTTAGTTCATTATCTCTCTTTTGCATTGTTTGGATTAATGTAAATTTCAGGGGTGGGGAACCTTTTCAGCCTTCTGGACCAGATCCTTGGCTCCCTCACTCTTTGTAGGTCACTTTGACATGTGGCATGGCTGCCTACCTGTCAATCAACTGGAATCGCCATGGTGTCAGTTGAAGCAATTTTCCTTTGCTGTGTAGCTTGAGATCGTTTTCCTGCAAAAGAATATTCTGGCCAATCCCATCTGAGCTTGATGTCACCAATGATCAGCTGATCTGCACTGTCTTCAAGCCTCTCTTTTGGTGGGCATTGACTACATTCCAGAGTTCGCTTTTATCAGTTTAGTCAATTCCAGTAGGGCTTGAAGATTGATAGCACCGATCAGTTTGGGCAGGGATTGTTGGCTAGCCTCCTACATGTGAGGTCTCGAAGGTGGCAACATGAGAACGGGCCTTTTCTGTAGTGGCTCCCTGTTTGTTGAATGCTCTCCCCAGGGAAACTCGCCTGGTGCCTTCATTATATATTTTTAGGCACCAGGTGAAAACATACCCCTTCAACCAGGCCTTTGGCTGATTAATATTCTACAACCTTTTAATTGTGTCTGTGGGAAGGGGGGTTATTGTTTTGCTGTTTCATTTTACTTATTCTCACCCTGGGGTCTTACGATGAAGAGTGGTATCTAAATCTAATAATTGAATAACATAAAATAGCCTTACTTCCAGGTTAAGACTGCAATCCTATAAGTATACATAATTAACATGTAAGTAAGTCCCATCAAGGGCAGTTGGACTTACTTTTGAGTAGACATGGATAGGATTCTCACATTCAGCCTCTATTTCTGTCTTGCATTCTACTACTACCTGTCATCCACCCACATCTGAAATTTTATTTTGAAAGGTTCTAAGATAGGTTACAAAATGAAAACAAAAACAAAAAAGAAAGCCCAGTGTAAATAGCATTGGAACAATTAAAATCCACAAAAATAGACAATCTAATTATAATATGATAATGTATTTCCATTTTTTAACTGCTACTTTTGCAGTTCCACTGTTGAAGGAAGTAAACTTATGAATACCAGTTTGGGAAAGTGTTCTTATGCCCAGGCCCTTCTTGTGGGGTTCCTATAGGCATCTTGTTGGCCACTTTGAGAACAGGATGCTGGTCTTGATAGGTTATTGGCCAGATCCAGCAGGCTTTTCTTGTGGTCTAACTAGTCACATTTTCCATTTTCCATTAAATTTAAATTATTTATGTATCGATTTTTTAAAAGTTTCTGCTGTTCTTTCATGTTTTAATTTTTGTATATTCATTTTTCACCTTTGCATTCTGCTGATTCTTTTCTCATTCTCATATTTTTCTTTTGTTACTATGCTTTAAAAATATTTTATTTCTCATTATAGAATTTATTGTATCTTTAGCAAACAAAAAACAAAAAAACCACACACATGAGAAATGACTGCCTGCTGGGTCTACTCCTTAGTAACTCTTTAAGGAATTGCAGCCTTAGAACAAATTCTGTACAGCCTTCCTAAATCTAAAAATACTACTAAATTCTTTAGTAGTATTTAATTTTGTGAGGGAAGAGATGCTGGGACCGAAGTTTATCAACACCCTAATCCCTGGAGTACTACTTTCCCTCTTATTTACTCAGAAGTAAAGAAAATGTAGTCTGAACATGTTCTGAGTGGATAATTTAATCTGTTCATATACCAAATTTAAACCTTTACATTGGAAACAGACACCAGACTGGGCTCCAGTGATCCCATTTAAGTCCAGCAACAAGCCCATAAAATAAGTTTCAGTGAATGTAGATCAATGTTCCTCTTAAAAAAAAAGAAGAGGTGGAGGAGGAGCAGGATAGGACATGATTTTCTCTCTCTTTTAGCCAGGATGCCAAGTTTAGTGTCTCCACATGCAGTGCCTAGCTTCAACTTGTTCTGTGTTCACCCCTTAGTACATGGGTCAGCAAACTTTTTCAGCAGGGGGTCAGTCCACTGTCCCTCAGACCTTGTGGGGGAGCCGGACTATATTTGGGGGGGGGGGATGAATGAATTCCTATGCCCCACAAATAACCTACAGATGCATTTTAAATAAAAGGACACATTCTACTCATGTAAAAACACGCTGATTCCCAGACCATCCATGGCTGGATTGAGAAGGCGATTGGGCCACATCCGGCCCCCGGGCCTTAGTTTGCCTACCCATGCC